AATTCTCATTTTCAACTACACATTCTTCAATAAAATAATATTTTCCATCACATCAATAATTTTTTCTTCTTTTTCAACCACATATTTCCCATCATATCACTATTCAAAATCAATTCTTCCCCAAAAAATCTCTCACAAACAAGCTCTTAAAGAGATTTTTGGAAATGATCTTAAGATATGATTTAGAGTGCAAACAAGTTATTGAAGTGAAGTCGTAATAGGGTAGTCCTATAATTTATGTATCTTCTAATTTTTCGTAATTTGAGGTACGTGATAAGTGGATTTCTCTCTTAAGATATCATTAAAAGGGTAAGCGGATAATTGAAGTGAATTCGTATCGTATTAGGAGGCATGACAAGTTCACCTCATATGCAAGAAAATTGATGGGGTAGCGGCGGCTTTGGTGCTTATGCGGGGATTGCAATTGGGGAGATTAATTTAAAAAAAAAAAATCATTTTTTTCCCGTTTGTTTTACCATTAAGCCTCATTTTGGATATTATCTATAAATTGATTTATAGATTCTATCAAAATTAAATATTTATTTTAATCATACATTCATAATTATTATTCAATTGTTTCATAGGATCTATTACTATTCTTATTTATAAACTATTTATAAATTTATCAAACAAGTCAAATCTCCTGTTAATTTTGACTGAGAAATGAAGATAATGTTGTGAATCGGATAGTTTCGGAGTAAAATTTATATCATGTAAGAATATGAAACAAGGAATAAGGTTGAAATATCATTGGTATATTTAACTCTATGCTTTCTACCGTCTGTTTCATCTTTGTAACTAAATTACTAAAATATGCCATTATTGTATTTCAATAAATGCAATATATTTTTTTTAAAAAAACTTGAGTCACGTACTCGCATATCTTGTTACCTTGGTCGCAGGGAAATATGGACCACTATTGGTGCACTATGTTGTGATTTGGGGCACAATTAANATAATAGTCAAACATGAAAAACCAAGATAAATAAAATAATTGTTACGGATTAATGCAATTGCATCTTGCTAGTAATATAGTATCGTTCAATAAATCAAACAAGGAATATAAGAAATATGCTGCAACCTATATATACCTTCAAAGTCATTATGTAAAAAATTAAAAAAATAATGACATTTATCATTACAATGATGAAACATCAGGATGTGACGTTTACGTGGAATAATGGAATGAAGCAGTTCAATTTTTATGTTAGAGAGAGGAGAGAGAGAGAGAGAGATATAAATATAAAGAATAATGAATTGTCATATCACCGATATTCCACCTTCATAATAATAAATAGGGTTCTAAAAAAGATGGAGACATTGAGAGAGAGAGAGAGAGAGATCTATTTTCCCATAAATAATGTTAATTAATTAATACATCTCATTTCTCTAATTCAATAACAATACAGAGTCAGAAAAGAATGAAGTAAATGTACTAAATTCTAAAACAGATAAACTGTAGTAATATAACTGTTAAAAACTCGTAGAGTACTAATGGTTAGACGGTAAAACCCATTCCCAGACAATTAGGGTTTTCATCGGTACGACCTTAGAATGGCACCGCAGAAAGTGCACATGATAGCTCTCCAAGACTTCACATAAAACGGTACACAGCAGAACCTCGTGGCAGTCTTCATGTCGGCAACGCTAGCGCCGCCGCCACACCGGGAGCATATTCCGGCCGCCGGTTTGCATCTCCTGACTTTTCTTGTCTGATCAACCAGAAAACAGAAGCAAACCATATTTATGTTTCTTGAATACAAAGTGTTGTAGTTGAGTTTTTATGTTGTGAACATTATGGATGAGAGGGGACCTATTTATATAGGAGGCTTGGAAGAGAGGAGTTAATGGTGGTGCATGGATCTCAGTTGGATTGGGTTGGTATTTTCTGTTGACTTTGGACTGAAGAAATTATATTTTTAATTAGAGATTTTAACAGTCAATGGAATTGAATTATATAATAATAAAATTTATGTATTGAGAAAAAAATAAGGAAATAAAATGGTAGCGTGTTCTTGAGCTTGAATAGGACCTCATGGAAGAATAAAAACCACTAACTAATCTCTTTGATTTTACGTTTGATAAAATCGAAGGTTAATTATTTAGTACCATTATCGAATAGAGGTGATGATTGATTATACTTCGTGGTTCAAGTTAGCTAGCTATTATTGTTTATGTAGTGACATTCTAATAAAAATTTAGGAAACTAAGCGACATTTTATACATGGAGTGAGAATGGCTCGATTGAGGTAGTATCTAATGATTATTGAATAGATGTAATTCTAATAAACAAGACCTACACGCAAGTATTGCTTTGTGGGTTACCGTTGTCGAGGAAAGCACTTTGAAGTTATGTTGGATTTATTGAGCTAGCTATTTATACAAATGAAGAGCATTTTCAAAAGAATATTTAAAAGTGCAATTGTCTTTACTTTAAATAGTCAAACTCGCTCTCTTTTTGTATTTTATCGTAATTACTTTTAATGAAATAACAAGTTTCAATTCCACACTACTTAAATTATTAATGTTAAATTTTAACTATTGACATTTGAACATATGCTATAATAATTAAAAAATAAAGAAAAATCAATAAATGATTGTTGTAAAAAAGTAAAATAATGAATTTGTTGGAGTAAAAAAATTTTTTTTTTACTCTTTAAATTTGAAAATAATCTCTATTATGCCTAACATTTTCCTTGAAAATAAAGATTTGGATGCTCTAGTTGAGCTTTATTTTTTTTTTTTTTTTTTTTTGTGAGCTGAGCTCTGTGGCTTTACCTATTGCAGGGTTGAGCACTTTAATTTTATTTGAAGCCCTTACTTGAGCCCCATTTTTTTTTAATGAAAAAAATGCTTTCTTGAACAATGTTTTGACCACATTTCAACTACGTATTTTTCAATATATAATATTACACGCAAATGTAAAAAAATTTCTTATTTTTTAACCACACATTTTCTATCAATACACTATTTAAAAATATTTTTTTGACAAAAATGGAGTTCAAACATTCCCTAAGTCATGTTACTGCGGATACCAACATCTTTATCTCGGCCTTACTCTATGGCACGAGCTAGGACATCTCAATAACTCTCTACAAACTTAGGTGCTTTAAACTCTGTTGTTGGAAACTCGACTACCGCAATCAAAAGAACAAAGAAAATAATAGAAAATAAAAATGGAAGATGAAGCGAGGTATGCCAAGGCAAATCTCCTTAAGACAGATTTCGCCCCCCAACAACGTGCAAACTGGATTATGGACGCCTGTCTCCCAAAATACAACGCTTTTTCCAAAGTCGATATTGCACAATACCAACTTTGTCGGTCGAATCAAAGAATTAACGTACTCGAACGGAATAACAACGAAAATATCGTAGGAATTTATGCAGAATATGGAGAGAGAACGAATTTAAAAATCAAGAATATATTAATTGATTTGGTGTACAAAAAACGAATCTGAAGGTCTCTATTTATAGAGATTGAAGTGTCTCATTGAATGAGTGTGTAATATTTCACGAACTAGTGCACCACTTGGTCTGATACGTTCTAGCCATTGGATCGCACTGTTTCATGATCGACGGTCCAGATTAAACCATGAAGAGTAGTGTCCATTCATCATGTCTATTCACCAAGTTCTGAACAGTCACCAGCCATGCAGATGCCACGCGTACGTCCAACTGAACCAACTGCCACGCATGACTAAGTGACGTGTGTGCCACTTAGGATGCCAACTCATCGAGCCTCCCATTGCCATGTCATCGAACCATGAGTCCATTTCTGAAAACTTTAAGGCTCCACAGTGCAAAGTGCGCCTCTAAAGCGCCCAATGCGAACTTTGCAACGTGCGCGGGCCGAGGTCGGGATCGGGACGGGGCGCGGCGCGAGTGGTGCGAAGCACCACTCTAGTGGTGGCTAGCCAAAATTAGCTAAGTTATAGACCACTTATTAAATTATAACTTGTACACACATCTTCCTTACCATATATAAGACACTTAAAATTGGGCTTATCAACTTATGGACATATATTGGAGACTTTTCCAATTCACCCAAATTAATTACAATGACCCACATAATTAAATATCACATTTAATTATTTAACAATTTATCAATTAATTTCAACAAACTCAACAATAAAATTCCTATCTTAGCTTGATGACTCACTTGGCCAAACTAGATAATATATAGAAATGCATTCATTTGAACACTAACATTTGCATGTCAGCGTCTACCAACTACTTCAAATTAAATACCAAAGGCTTAAAAATAACATTTAACAAAATTGATAAATTACTCACATATATTAAAAATATTAATAAAAATTATAGATTTCACGAAAGGTGTTATACTAGAAAAGAATTATTCTATTTGTACCTAAACATTTGTACCGAAAGTTGTCCCTATTCTCACAATGCACACGGGCCCATGCGAATATAAAAATTCCAAAATGTGGTTCCCACCTCCTAGTGTAAATAGTAGGTAAAACTTTAGGTAAAAATTTTAAGTAAATATAGCATTGTCCACTAGAAAAACACTAAACAAGTCTTTTCAGTGTCAATTCAATTGTTCGTCTCTTAGTTGTCCCATAACGACGACATTTTTCTTATTTACGGAGTTATTTTAACGTACTAGACATGCATTTATCATAATATTCGTTTTGCAGTAACCACACTGAGAGAGCAGGCTAATTTTTTTGAACTGGAAATTGGGTGTCTCTACAGACAGCATCACTTGATGATGGTCCTTCAGGTGCAAGTGGTCTGACTTGTTTCAGTGGCATAAGGGTCCGGCTTTCGATAATTTAATTGAATTGTCACCGTTTACAGCTACCTATTACAGCTGCTTGGATAGTACTCGAATAAAGGAACAAACTAAATGTTCCAAATCTCCTTGATGGTCAAGAATTGATAGAATTATAGAAATAAAATGTGAAAGCAAACATGGTATCATCGGTTTTCATTGTCAACATTATTCATGTTTCAATAGGCAGAGGTGTCAAACGAGTTGAACTAGACAAATTGTCCAATCTAACAAAGAGATCAAGCGACAAGCCAAGGTGTGGGGTGGAGTGGATGAATGATCTTTCTTTCAATTTTCTAATTTTTGTTTTAATTATATTTTTTTTCTATTTATTTAAACGAAATTTAAGGGTATACATGGTAGTCTTTTTTGATTTTATCAAAATATTGATTTTTTAACCATCTTTATCCCTAATTGTTTTATATTATTTTAAAACTCTTTTTTTTTTCTCAAATTCATTTTCAATCACACTTTCTCACAATAAATATTTTGCACATAAACTCAAAATATTATCCTACGTTTTAATCACATATTCTTAAAAAAAATCACTAACCTTTTTACTATGGATAATCTCCAGCGGACACTATCCGTTGGTAATCAGAAATAGATTATCCATTAACAAAAGTATTAGACTTTTAACTACGAAAATCACCAACGGGATTTTCGTTGGTAAAAGTGGTAGTTTTTCGCCAACGGATATTCCGTACCTATTGTTGTTGTTTAATATGTTTACCATTTACCAACAACATTTTCGTAGGTGAAGTAATTCAAATTTTTTCTAAAAAGTGTGTCAACCTTTCACCTATGGATTTTCTGTGGGTAAAGAGTAGTTCATATTACCAACGGAATTGTCGTTGTTAATAGTAATCAATTTTAATAATGAAAAAAATCATACATTCTCTTGTGGAATATGCGTAGGGGAAGGGTAATTAATTTTTTCAAAAAAAAAAAAAAAAAATTCAGCCTCTTCACCAATGAAAATTCCGCAGGTGAAAATTAATTCATATTACCAACGGAAAATCCGTTGATGATATTAATCAATTTTAATAATGTGAAACCAAATGAATTTTTATCCCACATCGAAAGTTCACAACAAAATCTTTGGAGATGACCTTTATAAATTAATGGTCTAATAAGTGATTAAACAACTTTTTAAACATTTCAATTCCGTTGGTTAAAAGTTAAAAAAATTATAATTATTAAAAAATAATAAATAATTTTTTTGCCACGCCTTGCACCTATGCCACTATTTACAACACTTATTTTTATAAATTGTAATGGTAGATATTTACCAACTGAAATTCGGTTGGTAATTGTTAAGATTTTTATCAACGAAAAATTTGTTGGTAAAATGTTTACTTTCTATCAGCAACCCTCAAAGTAATGAGAACGGATATCGTGGTTTCGGGAACGAAAAATCCGTGCCTGAAGCCATGTTTTTTTTTAGTGATTCCAAAACTAATTTTCCTACTCAACATACAAAATNTAGTGATTCCAAAACTAATTTTCCTACTCAACATACAAAATATCTAGTTTAGAATGATTGACATGATGATATTAAGAAAAAAGAAAAATAATTCAACTTGTTCATTATACTAATTTTATATTTAGTACTAAATGTTTATATAAATCGAAGAAAACGTTATGCATTCCTAGACACAAAAACATAGTTGTCCATATAGTCACAAACAAAGGAAAACGAAGTAAAACGAACCCTCTTTCTTTTAACGTTAATGTTTATGCCCAGATAACATGTAGAAGTACACACTCTTAAACATTGGAGCTCCCATGTCAAGTATGAAAGAGACTCCGGTAGTTTTCAAATGGTAGTTACTAAGTTTTTAACTTTCGCTTATGAAGTAAATTTAATTTACCTTGTATTGATCGATTTGAAAATTTATTATTAACTCGGACGACTTGTTGAAAGGTTTATTTTGACATGTTAGAATTAATGTCAAAATTCAGTCGCTTTATGGTATAAAGACAAGATGGAGGAGTATTTTAAATGATTGGCAATGAAATTTTTTTCCTATTGTTATTCATTAATTTTATAGAGATCAATGTCGAGAATTTTGATAGTCATATTGAGTTTGACTTATGCGAACGTTTGCCTCTATTAACGAACATTTCTAAGTCAAAAAAGAATTAACAAATCATATGCGAATTAACCTATGCCACTCTCAGCAAACATTTACGAAGCCATAAACTTGATCTTAAATGCATACAATGAGCACACGAGACATGCGAGAGCAAAATTATCAGAAATATTCATATTTATTTCCTTAAGTTATTCCACATTAGCTAAAACGTTGTTGAAGCACACGTGAATAAGTATGTTAAACATGTTCATGACTTCATAATCAATGAGTGAAGGACTCGTAACATGATGAATAAAACGTAAAAGGGTAACATATTTAGTTAAAACTCACCAATATTCAAACACTGCTACCAGGCATTAAAATGAAAATACTGAATTACCCTCCTAGCCTCATCAAAAATGTATAAATAGTAATAGTTTGGAGCAAAGAAAAGAATATGAAAAATTGAATATACACCTTTTAAATAGCCATTTATCTCATATATCTTGTTCTTGGGCAAAATTAAGTGAATTTAGGGAATGAAAATCGTGGTTAGATAAGAGAAATTTGTTCATCTTTATTTTGAGGTCAACATCTATAATCTAAATTGTTTGAGTAAACTATTTAAGCTCTTGTTTGAAAGTGATTATTTAAAAAAAAAAAAAATCCTCCACTCTCATTTTGAACCATATATTCTTCAAAAAAAAAAAGTCATTTTTCATTTTTTCAATATCTTTTTTCCTACACATTAAAAAAAAAATCACTTTCACACAAGAACTAATTATAGATTGCTGACTCACAAAGTAAGTGATAGGGTAAGATTAACCACTCATTTAATAACATTAGCCCCTATTTGACAACTATTATTGGAGTAAAATAAAATTTAAATAGTGAATTTTTGGAGAATGTATGGTTAAAAAGTAGATACAGTTTTGAATTTACGTGCAAAATATTTTATTGTGTGAATGTTTGATTAGAAATGAATATGTAGAAAAATGAATTTTGAAATAATCGTTGTCAAACATGAGCTTAGTTTGATACATCTGCTTTTAGGGCAAGTTGATAAATTTTAAAAACTTAGCTCCCGTTTGGTGGTGATTAAAATAAGGTTTTAGTAAATTTTGATAGCAATTGATGAAATGTGAGATTGAAAAGTTATGAATCTCATATAATTAAAATTAATTGTTGATTTGAATTAAAATGATGATTTTAGTATCCACCAAACAGGTACTTGATAAGAAACCTTCTAAAAAAATTCCATAAATTAATCCAAATTATATTCATTTATCTGAAGCTAATTTGTCATCATTAAACCTGTCTTAAAATCATGAAAGCTCCTCGAGTGCATTTTTAACACTCTCGTCATTCTTCATCTCTCATTTCCACAAGCAAAGCTCCAAGTTTCACATGTGACTGTTTTGACGTTCATTAATTTATTTTATGAATTGCTACAAGATCATTTTTAACTAGACATTCATACAATAAAATATTTTGCACGTATATCAAAAACGTTTTTCTACTTTTTAACCACATTCTCCTAAAAATACTATTCAAAACTCATTTTTTCCCCAATTAATAAGAATCAGTAGGCTAATGTTAATTTCTGTGAATTGATTTGAATGTCAAAATGATGTGGATAGCTTCAACAGATGTACACTTTTTACGTTGCTATCAAAACATATTGTAACGTATCTTCTATATATTAAAAGTGGCTATGTAACGGAATTTCTTGTTTTTAACGGAAAAACTAACGGAATTTGTTGTTTTAACGGACTATGTAACGGAATTTCTTGTTTTAAACAGGCAGTTGCACCTTCTTTCAGC